CTGAGTCTTCACATCCCGGAAGCCTCGATCCACGAAACACATGTCACCCGCTCTCAAGAAACCGCCTAGACCAGTCGGGTCTCGCATAGCGTCCGCCATGATTTTGGCATCGTTGACATTCGCGTTGTAGGGTCCCAGCATGTCGATGACGTATCCAGTGGTTGTACAGATGGTAAACGGTTTACAAAGTGGCGCCTTCTTCTGTACTGAGTACGATTTTCTCTGGTACGAGTTGTTTGCGCTTTTACCGTGACGAATATACGTTCCATCAAATATCAGAGCCAAAGAATCTCTTGCTTCAAAGAGCTGTCTGACGAACTCTGATGTCTCAGTCTGGATCAAGTCTTCTCGCGCGCGAGCTGAGAATCCGAATCCGACAGGGAGAACGTCTTCCTCCCGAATCGTCAGACCTGCGGAGATTCTTGAGTCGCTGTTCCGGGATGGAGCTACCGTTCCTGTTATCAACGAAGATAGTGACGAAGACTGATTCGGGATCTATGTAATGCTCCTAAGTATCATCGTAATCAAAAATAAAAATCCCCGCCGGTCAACTCGATCGAAGTGTAGTACCAAGGAGGGCGCGCAGCGTCTGCTCGATGCGCGGGAAGATTCAATTGTGTCCTGCGAGATCCTGGGTCGGAGTTAGACCAGGGAATACCGTCGTGTACTATCTATCTTATGCGCGATATCTCTCCCGAAGCGTCAGACCTGCGGAGATTCTTGAGTCGCTGTTCCGGGATGGAGCTACCGTTCCTGTTATCAACGAAGATAGTGACGAAGACTGATTCGGGATCTATGTAATGCTCCTAAGTATCATCGTAATCAAAAATAAAAATCCCCGCCGGTCAATTCGATCGAAGTGTAGTACCAAGGAGGGCGCGCAGCGTCTGCTCGATGCGCGGGAAGATTCAATTGTGTCCAGCGAGATCCTGGGTCGGAGTCAGACCAGGGAATAGCGATTGGGAGCGGCAATGGGCGTTTACCAAAAACCATGGAAATCAGTGGTAGGGAATGAAGTGTTCGCGAATGAACCTATTTGGACTATTCCGATTTTGATGAAACTTGGTGTGCGTGTACATGGGTTTACTAGGTTCATTTGTGACATAATGTCATCCATGTTCACGAAGGTCTTCGGTGTCTGGGAGCTTGAAGAAAATTAAAATTCGGAAAAAAATGATGATGAAAAGTACTGAGAAAAATGGGACCGGGCTAGAATTGTAGCATTTTTCGTCAGCTTTCCAACGAGACCAAGCACGACCCTCTAGCTCTTACCGTTTCCGAGAAAATCGCATTTTAAGATTTCCGAAGTTTGGCCGTTTTCTCGAAACTGGCCGCGTCGATTTCTGGGAGACTCGTGAAAAAGTCTTCCACTAACCGAGAGCTATCACCCTATATAGTCAGTTTTCCAAAACAGATCGTAGCCGGGATCCCCACCTTATTCGGCTGTACCCTTTGTACGAGAACTGCCCCGAGCCCCCTACCACTCGCGTCCGTTTGAAGCCGCGTCTCCAAATCATCGCGGAAATGGCAGAGAACCGGTTCTTGGGTGATGCAGTTCTTTATCTGTCTGAACACATTCTGCTGAGCCTCTCCCCATTCGAATGAAGTTTTGCTCAGGAGATCATACAGTGGTGACGCGATACGAAATTTTTCACGAAACGTCGATAGTATGATGCCAATCCGAGGGAGTTCGAGGGAGCTCGTAGATTCGACACAGCAATGACTTTATCTGGGTCGGGTGCGACCCCAGCAGGTAAGATCTTGTGGCCCAGATAAGTTACTTCCATCGTGGCGAGATCACACTTTTTGGCTTTCAATTTCGGACCTGCGACTTTGACTGCCGTCAGAACAGTTCTCGAATCGTTGACATGGGTTTCGAAGTCCTTAGAATAGATGATTCTGTCATCTAAGTAAACCAAAGCCATCTTATACTTGAAAGGACCGATAACCCGGTCCATTAATCGTTGAAAGGTCGCGGGTGCATTCGCCAGACCGAATGGCATTCTCTTGAATTGGTATAGTCCGTCTGGGGTGCAGAAAGCCGTTTTCTCCTTATGGCTCGGCTCCATTTCAACTTGCCAGTATTTGCTCAACAAATCGAGTGTAGTGGACTATGCATTCCCAGCAAGTGCATCCAACGCGTCATCTATTCTAGGCAAAGGATAAACATCTCTCTTTGTCACTGTGTTCAAGTTGCGGTAGTCGACGCGAGATCGTATCGACTCGTTCTTCTTTCTAACTAAGACCACGGGTGAAGCCCATCGGCTGGAAGAGCTTCCCACGATACTATCACGAAGCATCTTCTGAACTTCTTTTGAGACCACTTGCCTCTGTACAGGAGCTACTCTTCGAGGGGGGAAAGTTATGGGCGGTGCGTCTCCTGTAGGTATCGAGTGTTTCACGAAGGTGGTGCTAGACAATCGATTCGATTCCTCGAACAAATCGACGAAGTCTTCTGGGAGTACTTTCTTCACTCTTCGTTCTGTACTTGGTGATGGGTCGTTACCCAGCTTCGGCGAAGACATCAGTGGGACTGGATTCTTTTCCTCTTGTTTTTGCGGTGGTTACCCCTTCCGGAATATGGGCTCCCCCTAGAGACCTGCCCTCTTCGAGGTAGATAGAAGTAGTCTCGAGATTCACAACCAGGATCTCACAAGAGCCACTTTCATCGGATTGCACTACACTTTATGGTGTGATGAATCGACCGCTTGGGGTACAGCTCTTCATCCCATCGGTTAGGAGTGTCTCTGCCGGTATACCTGTCCCGATTGTGACGTACATGTCACTCTCGGGCGGGATCAGTGTTCCGCCCCTCACTTTGCAGGGAAAGCCGTACGCGAATGGGAATCTCGGAGTTCGTCTTTATTGATCAGTGAGAACGACTTCGTCAAGAACGGTTTTCCTAGGATTACTTCTTTCGAGAGGATGTCGATAATGAAGAAGGGCTGCTTGTTTCCATTGACGTCGAACTCCAGCGCACCGATAGCTTTCATGCTTCTTTGTTGAGCATCGGTAATCCATGGACTTGTGCCGGGTTCCAAGATCTCGAGGTTGCGATCCCTTAGATCAACCATCGACGGGTGAATCGCATTGACGTCAGCCCCGGTGTCTAAGCTTGCTGTTCGCATCGACCCTGATAGCTTGATCTTCATCTCGAACGGGTTCCCATTTTCTCCTATGCTTGGAACGTGCATGGTCTTCGCTTTCTGAGTGCACGTCGCCGCGAAGTGACCACTGCGGCCGCATCTGAAGCAGACTCGGGATTTTTGCCGCTCGTTCGTCCTGCTCTTCCCCAGTGGATCCTCTGGATGACGAATCGGTTTCGATTCGAATTTGACAGATTGAACGAAGATTTCGAGTATGGGTTACTCGAAGTCCGCAACGTACCTCAACCAGAGGGAAGCCGAGCAGAAAAATTCTTTGGGAGGAGTCTACGATCGAAACTACCCTCGGAGCTCGATCGAAACATGAAATGGGATGAAGCCCAGATCCAACGAAATGAGCAAGAACTGGCGAAACAGAACCGAGTCAACGACAGGACAGCCAGACCACCGAAGATCCTGCGGAAAGACACTACCGTGCGAGTGCAGCCTTTGGTGCGGCACGGAAGATGGCTGAGAGGCGTTTGTCTAAAGAAAGTAGCTCCGAGGTCGTATGAAGTAAAACTCGACGACGGCACTATCATCCGGAAGAACCGGCAACACTAAAGAGCCTCGGAAGAAAACCCAACGCTCGTGGAGAAAAAGGCAGTTGCGACTCGACCCAAAATCCCATCTCCGAAGCCTGAAAGACCGGTCACACTCAGTCAAACTCAGGTCAAATAAGCAGAAACGGCAAGCAGACAAAACCTCGGAGACAACGCGAGGTTACAACGAAAACGACCACTGTACACGACTATAGAGATAAGGAGAAGTGGCGGGAAAGCAAAGCAAAAAAGACATGTCAATGTACAGTAACGTGGAGATAAGGCGAATACGTCGATCTCGCCTCGAATTAGTCCTATCGAGTACCCTAATAATAAGCTTGTTTACTTCCTATGATATCAGTTGAGAGGCTCGCTGTTCATACGTAATACGTGACGGCACGTCCCCTAAACAGATAGTCAGCATTCCCTCTGTTGTTGTCGGATTTCGCTCCCTCCTAGTTGAGTCTCCGTTCGGAAGTTGTGTCTCGTTCTACCTCGTTGCTTCTCTCGAAACGAAGTTTTCTCGCCCTTCCCTCGCTGACATGGATATCCAAGAACTTCGTTCGGCAAAGGGTAAAGCCCAGTTTTCCGTGGAAAGCTACATCTACGAAGTGGAGAAAACTGTGGGCGGCGACACTTCTTACTGTAGATTGTAGATGCATCAAAAAGAGAAGGGAAGGCTGCCTGGCGAGAATAGTCGTATCGAGATCGCCGACGCTGACTCTCACGAAGCAGACTGGTGCTCACACGCACCCGCCCGACAACGGAGAACTCATAAAACGTCTGGCCGCCGCTGAGATGAAGGATGCGGTTCTGGAACAGGACGAAAGAGGAGTGAAACGCGTCTATTCGGAGACCCTCGCCGGACTGGTGCGCAACCTCTGTCGACGGTGCTTAGAGAAAAGGAACCGCTGACGGTTCGTAGCAGCCGACATCGGCGTCGCCGCGCAAGAAAAAAAGAGATGTAAACAGTCAGTGAGTAGCGAGAACGTGATCAACCGCGGCACCGCTATAGAATATTGTGAAAACCGAGGAATAAATCGTTCGAGGACGACTTGTGCAGCAGCATTCGGTGTCTTTCATCTACGCAGCGACTAGCACGGAACATGGCGCCCAACTAAATCATCACCACACTGAGAGTCGGAGGTTTCTGCATCAAGATGTCAACCCACGATACACCCGACGAAAAATTAGAAGAAGTTTCACCACACCGCCAGTCAACTCCGAAGAAATCGAACAGACCTTGGAGAATCGATATGGCAGAAGCAGTCGGTAGAGCCACTGTGATTCGAGACTTGATCGTAAGAGAGGTCAACGAAGTAGTCAGCTACGCACACAAATTACTCGCAGGGCCAGCGAGAGACGTAGAAACACTGCAGGCGACTCTGGATTTCATGACAGATCATCTCAAGAAACTGGACGAGAGCAACGAGGAAGTCTGGCTCACGATCTCAGATATGAAAAAACTCACCGAAGATCGAGCCGCCCAAAACACATTGGCACTCCAGACTAGAATCGTCAAATGCAAGCTGAAGCGAGCGATCGCTGAGGTGGATACACGACGGACGGTCGAGAACAACAATCCGGAGGCGCAACACCAGCCAAGATGTCAGGAGACATTAAAGAACGCACGAACGCTAGAACCATTGAAAATGGATCGTTTCGACGGAAAATTGGAAAATTGGCTCCCATGGTGGTCTCGCTTCACTGAGCGAATCCACAATGACGCCAAACTCAGCGATAGGACGCGATACGATTACCTCCTTCAATATTTGTCGAAAGAGGTTAGGGAAAGGCTCAAGACGATTCCGATAGACGAGGAGTTTTACAAGGCCGCGGTCGACCGATTGAAGGCAGACTTCGGCAATACGGAGAAGCTACGGAACTTCTACACTCAGCAACTGATGAGTATCAAGCCTATCGTCTCTCGATACGATGTCAATAGTATTCGAGAGCTCATCCAGGTCGTACGAATGAGCATGATAGCCCTAGCCAAGATAGGAATGCCACAGGAAGCTATCGCCCCTTTCGTTTTTCCCAGGATCAAAGAGAGCCTACCAATCGAAATATACCTTGAGTTCAAAGCAGCGTCGCGCACCGACAGATCCGAAAACGAAACTGCATCGTCAATATCGACGATGGCAAGCTGCGAATTATTGGACCGTCTCCTGGACTTCATGGAGAAGTTCGTTACCGACCTCGAGGACATTGAGGAGCGAAAGCTTCAACAAGCACAAAATGCCAACAGCAGGAAGCTAGCTCTAGTACCGACATCGGTCGCCTTGAAGACAGAAGTCAAACCGCTACTAGTAAAGAGGACCGATTCATCTCGGACGAGATTCAAGGCTGACACTGAAAACCCGACACCACAGACGTGTTTTTTCTGTAAATCGAACGAACACCGAACTCAATCGTGTTCAGACGATTCGACCAGTACCCAACAGAAGCGAGAAAGCCTCATCAAAGACAACAGATGTTGCAAATGCTCTAAGAAGGGACATCGCGCCGCAACGTGCCGGAGCATTCCTCTCTGCACCAAGTGCAATCGAAGGGGTCATATGACACCTTTGTGTAGCCCGATGACCGCATTTACGGCGCACTGCAGCAACGAAGAAAAAAGTTCCGAGTCTCATTCATGCAAGGATTACCGAGAATCCAGCGAATACTACATAACGGTGACAGCAGTCGCCATCGGACCCACCGGCAAACGACGACGAGTGCGTATACTTTTCGACTCAGCTTCACAAAGATCCTTTATCCGAAACAAAGTCATCGAACAGCTCGGGTTCAGCATGAAATCACTCGACAAGATCCCAGTCTCACTCAAGATGTTGAATCAAGCCACAGTTCTGACGGAAACAGCCCTAGTAGATTTGAGACTGCAGAATAACGAGGGACATACCACCGAATGGTTCAAATTCTACACCTTAGACCGGATCTGTAGCGATCAGGTCCAGCCCGAAGTAGATCAACGTCTGATGAGACAACTCGCCGGATTAGGCATAAACTTATCGGATGACCACGATCCCAAATCTCCGATAGACATCTTGGTAGGGGCAGACCAACTGGTCAGTGTGCAAACTCATAACGCACATAGGCTTCAGAAGACTTTGGAGGTTGTCGAAACCGCATTCGGATGGGCCTTGTTCGGATCAAGGAAACATTCGCAAATAAGGGAGTTCACAGCAAATCATGTACAAATTTCGTGTCTACAGTGTGCGATTCCGCGAATGGTGCCCATGAATGCAGAAAAGCAGCTCGATCAGCAATTCCGCAGATACGTAGAAGCAGAGGCAATGGCTATCGAAGAGGAGCCTCGGAACAGCGATGACCAGTTCATCGAAGAGTTCATGGAGAAGGTTGAATTCGATGCTGAGGCTCATAGATTCATCGCGGGCCTGCCATTCAAGGAGGGGCTCCGACCCGGAGTGAACCTCGCACTG